GCATCTTCTTCTTCTTCTCATCATTCCACTCACCACACCTAATCACCTCTTAACTTCATCAGCAGACTCTGCAATGAAGAAACCCCTGATGTTGGATTCGAGTTTGACGTCGTACCTAGGGTTGATGAGGATGTAACTCTCGTCGGCGCCTTCCTGCCTAGCTTCGATGGCGATCAGCAGCAGCTTCAACTTCAAGAAACACAACCTGTCAGTTGAAACTTGATGGTCAACTTTCTCGTGTAGGTCGGTAGGTAGAGAATGAATACACTTCCAACAAAAATACAAACACTCATACACACACAAAGTTAAATTTGCTTATCCATTTACGAGTTTTATTTCAGCGTTGTCAGCAAGCAAGCAGTTTAAGGTATGAGTCTCTTTCTTATAAAAAAAGCAGTGAAAACTTTCAAACGCTCTGTTTTTATTGAACAAAATAAAGTTAACTTTTAGAACTTTTTCAAGGATAAAGTTCATTAACGTATTAACATTGTAATCAACTTTTCAATTCAATCAAGCAGATTAATATTTGAAGTATGTTTTTTCACTAATTTCATTAAAACTTACTCTTTATAATAATTTCTAAACTAATTTTATTAGCGCACACTTTTCAGAAACCATTCACCAATAAAAAAAAATTAATCCGCCAGGGCCACCGAAGCTACCAACTCAGCAGCTTCTGGAAAAGTGAGTCCTGCAAATGAGTTGGAGAGAAGTTCCGTGTACATCTCCATGCCGGTGCCTCGTAAGTAATCATTCAGCCACTGTGGCATATCAGGACTTAACTTTGGGAGGTAATTTTAAAAAACAACATTTCCACGATGGTATGATGTGACGACGGAGATGTAATGATATGAGTGAGAGTGCCTAGAGGCGATCACATCAAACATATACAGAACGAATTAGAACGAATGAATTTAGAAAACCAAAATTATTTTTCAAGCAGTAACAGTATTTTGCAAATTATAACTCAATTTTACCCATATTGTATTATAAAATAAGATGTAAGAATCTATGTACATCTAACTCAGACTAAACAAATCGACTAACTAATCAGCCCATAGACAACAACTCACCGTCTTATAGGATCTCATACTAAAGAGATTAGCCATCAACGTTGAAAAACCAGGAGCCAAGCAGCTCTGAGCTAAGAAACCTAACTTCAGTTCCGCCAGACAGACGCAGTCATCTCCTCTCTTCCAATTCCAGCTGGGAATATTTAGCAGGTACGCCTAANATGGAAAAACCCAACTAAACAAAGCCTCTTTTTTTAACTAATTTTAACATTTTTTCACTGAAGATGATGAAAATTTCAAATGTGAGAATATTCGTATCTAATATTTATAACGACTGTC